TTACCTCTCGTCATGGCTGCCACTTACAGTAAATACTTCCAGGTCATTTCACTCAGTTTGGAACCTTTCTAAGCAAAAAAAGACTATGGCTGTATCCGAAATCCCCATTACTATACTACTCCCTAGTAGGGAGTTGAATGTAGAGCACTATATAGTAAGCTCACTCATATATAACAACACTTCGGACACTACTCTGAGTATTTTGCCACCGTTATTATGTAATTGCCGTCAGACAATCAGTTTTTCTATCAGCTCAATGCATGATGGTAATACGCTTGGTTAGTGACCATTGGTTGTACACTACTTTCAAAATGCATTCTGGGATACATTGAGTGGACTATATAGGGTATAATAATTATCACTATACTTTCGGACAGCCCTACAAAATGGCGAGCTCACTATATAGTGAGTAGTGGCTGTTTTCGGACACAGCATATTGTCCCCAACACGAGAGTCAGAATGTGATACACCTACTGTTATCAGATTCTCAAAGATGTTGCTAAATCCTGAAGGGCTAGTTCATGAACACCTTTTTGTAACTGATTTTCACCCACCTCAAGATAAATTTACTCTGCCTTTAAATTGTTTCTTTTAAATGTATAATACTTTGACGTCTACTGTTAAAGTACAATGACATAGTAAAAATGTGTATTTTCTTTGATTTCAGCCTCACATTCAACAAAAAGTGTGTTGTTAATGTTGTCAGGTGCTCAAAAAATGCAAAAGCAGCATTTAAAGTCCTCTCTGACAATGAAAGACTTTGTCACAGGTGCTATACACCAACAGATCTGAAATCAGGGACATGTACAATAGCATTGTCATTATGGTCATTACTAAGATGGTTGGCGTGGAACTATATGCATCCAGGCAGGGAAGGGATGAATGTTTCCCTTTTTCTGCATGCACAGCCAAATCAGCAGTCCATCTCAGTGGCTGGCAGCCAATGGTCACAGCCTTTGTGAACATTTGCATGACAGTGTCTCCAATTGCGTGAGGTCTGAATGAGGGGGGAGCTCGCCAAAATGTTTTGACAAGATGGCTCGGCTTTGAAGACATGTAAGGGGTTTTGACAACTCTTGGTAGAACAATTACGTTTCATGGGATAAAATATCTGTTATTGCCTGAAGGCTCTTTTGTTAGCAGAGAGAACAGATGAGAGGTTTTGCTCTGTAAATGGCATTTTCAATTGATGTGGGAGAGGGGCTCATTTTTCCTGGGGCAAAAATTCTGTTCATGTAGGTTGAAAAATCGTTCATGTAGGTTGAAAAAACCTATGACATGGGTATTTAAGACTCACTCTTCAGAATAAATCTTAACTAAAACCATGTGTTCAGGCTGTGCTCAATGAGATGTTCTTACTGTATATATGATACAGCAGAATTTGTCTTTAATGAAATGATGGTAGAGAAATCCTGAAAGCAAGAAATCAGAGAAGTTAGTCATGTTTTTATTGCTATGTGCTCCCCATTACAACAAACAGCATCAGTAGTGTACACTTCAATCTACACAAATACATACAAAAGCAAATAGAGCAGAGAGTGACTGACATTAATGACAATCAATATACTTTAATGCATGGATAGCAGGGGGAATGAATACAGTACATGGAGAATCCTATGCAGTAATATTTGTCTGAGGCTCAGGGATTGTCAATGTAACATCTACAACTACCCTATTGTCATTATAAGCTCTGCATAACATTAGCAGCAATGTGTATAGGCAGCAACTAAAGAATGAGGGTGAAAAGAACAGGGTAGGAAAGTTTAAAATGGTTAGACAAAACTGACAACTACAAACAGCATAAAAAAAACTTTACTTGTTTACTGGTTCTACACTATGTTTTATTGGTTAAAATAAAGCATTTGTCTGGTCAGTACATGTCGCTGTGATGTAACAGCTCTGTTAACAACTTCTACAAAACAGCTGTGAAAAGACAGCTTTCTGACAACAAGTTAAACATCTCAAAATTGAGCATGTATATTTACATCTAACTGTTTGCAGCAAAACAATGTCATTCTAGTCTATCACTTTTTAGTAAGTAAAAATCCATTAAAATTTGAAAATGTTGAAAATGTCATGAATGTGATCGGTTTTTAATGGGTTATCTGCTGCAGCTTATTGACCAGCTGTCACTGCACTTCCTGTAAAAACAAAGCAGAAATCTTTAACTTTTAATAAATATTTATGTACCAATGCTATATACATGTACTATACATTGGCACACAGGAGTGAGTGTGAATAGTTGCGAGCTATTTCTTTGCTGAGAACACAAAACTGTGCCTTTGCTATTGCAGTCAGATGCATGGTGGTTGTGAGGCAATCCTTTTTTTAATAAATAGCTTTCTCTCTCCTGAACCTTCTTCCACCATTAAAAAGCCATTAGGAAATACTTTGGAGAAGAAAAACATGTTCCACGTACAGTAAAACTCTTTTGAAAGTCCAGCTTCTTGTGCTTACAATGAGGCTTTGTTCCTGCAAACACAAACTGTACAATAAAATCTTGTTCAGACCGAATGTGAAAGAGTGTAATAAGTTTAAAGCTCCATTAAGCGAGATTTTTGATATTATAATTGGATAAAATGACTGTGTAATGTGAAGGCTCACTCACAGCGATTAACCCACTGAGAGGTAACACCTAACTCTGCAGCACTACACAGCTTAAAGGTTTGGCTCTTGTCAACTCCCAAAGATAAAATCAAAAAGCTGAGTATAGGTAAGTCAGCACCAAACAGCAGAGAGCTGAAATAAACAAGTAGCTGGTGAAGAAAGTGGAACATCTAGCAGTTGAAGAGACAGATATTTCCCTCAGGAGTTGGTAAAGACCAAAAGAAAATTTTGGATTTACATTCATCAGCTGGGCAGAAACAATATTCAGTGGGATGCCCATGTTGCTCTGTTTCTGCTGGATGTGTAAAAACGTTTGCTAACGGATTAGCCAGTAACACCTGATCACCTGTCAATGGATACATCAGGACTGTGGTACTGTGTTTGTTTGGGAGTCTTTCTGCCCCCTAGTGGTCAAAAAACTCTTAATGAAGCTTTAAGTGTTTGAAGTTAGATAGCATATGTCACTACAAAAATAATCTGCAAATCCAACATTTAATAGCATTTCAACATGAGTGTTGTATATTTCATGGTCACATCAACATAGAAATTTCACAATAAATTTCAGTTGCATAGTGAAGTTTTACTTCGTTTTTTGTCTGTTCAAGCTGAACAAGAGCCCACTGTATATAGCATACAGTATTGAGAACACTTGTTAAATATTTGTCTTAGTTCCCTTCTTCAATCTAACAACTTCAATCTTTCTGAGCAGTAACTTTTACAAGGAGGGCAATGCAAAGAATCAAATAGGTCAAGCACCATTCAAATGTTGAGATGAAGTAATGTGTATAGGAGGAATAATTGGCCAGGAAATGTGAGGAGAAGAACAATACCACTCTTTTGTCTGCAGTTAAACATAAACTGACAGCAAGGAGACAGTTAGCTTGACTTAGCACATCACATTTGTGTTGTTTTGTACAGATTAAACAAAACAAAAAAAAATACAGCTTATTAGTTAGTGTGCTTTATTGCTGGTAGATGTACTTTTGAACTTTGAAAAGAGCCAGGCTAGTTGTTTCCCCCTGTTTCCAGTCTTTATGCTATGCTAAGCTACGCTAAGCTGACAAGATTGATTAAAGGGTGTATCCTCAGCTTCCTAATATAATACTGATATTTCCCTGGACAGTATTTACAGGAACCTTTTATAAATACTTATTTCCATAAAACTGTAGATTTAATTATCTTATAATAATTGCTGTTTATAAAAAAATCTATACAACTGAAACCAAACTAATGGTGTATCCCTGGCCACTTTACATATGTGACGATATAAAGTCCGGTGTTTGATTTTGTATATGCAGTGACTCTGTAAGTACTGGGACAGTTTTCTGTTAAGTCAAGCTTCATACTTACATTCTTTTGGCAAGAAAAATGGCAGTTTGTAACGTTCAAGTAAAAGGGCATCAGATGATCCATTTTAGATCTTCAAAACTTTTGTGGTCATCTTCCACTTCAAATTCATAGCAAACTAAACCCATCCAGCTCAAAGGTGACAGTCTAGAGATTTTACAGGGAGGTGAACATGGTGAATGTAACTACGCTCAGGTTGTGTTGTGACTTTTTGACTTGAAGTGCAAGATGTGTTTCAGTACCAGTTCCTGTATATATTTCTATATCTATATTTGAATCAGCTTTCTTTCTAATACTGAGATGTTAAAAGTTTGGAGCCAGTGTAGCAGAATAGATGCTTATTTTCATTATTGCATTTACATATTAATCTGTCGTTTGACTATTTTGTTTTGTTCACTTTAAACTACCAAAGCTGTGTTTTATTAAACTTTTCATTCAACATGGATGAAAATTCCCTCCAGACCCTGTGTCCCTTTATCTTGAAATAATTGTAATATTTTCTCCTTTCAATATAAAGTAAAGTATTCAAATGCTCTGGGAGCTTTCTGTAAAATGTCAAAGTCATATTTGACGTCCATATCAGGGACAGAAGGGAAGGGCAATTCTTAACAACAAAGTGAACCAGCACTTTTCTTTCTCTGTTTCTCTCTTTGTGGTTTGCCAGGAAAGACTCAGGATGAAGCTGGATTATCTACTGTACATTAGGAGTCCTTAAGGGGAAGGGCATCACTTTCATCTCTCCACTTCAGAATATTCTGTAGGCCACCCACTATCTGTCAAGCTGCTCGACCTTTGACCCACAGTATGATCTGCCAGCGGGGAGGGTACCATAGCATGCAGCTTCCTGCCAGTGAAACCAATGTGTCGTGGAACCCGCCTTGGTGCTGTAGTGATCTTCGATGGGGTTTTCTTAAGCGGGCCAGGTGTGGTGATGTGTTTTGCAGCATTGCCTGATGTGGCCGATCCTTTGCCTGAGCCTTGTTTGCCACTGCGAGTACCGTTGGCTGCTACAGAGGCTGTTAATGTCTCTAGCAGCTGGGAGGCTGATCCAAAGCGGACATGCTCCTCCGTCTCAGCTGCCTCTGAGAACAGAGACAGAGCTCCACTGCGCTTGCTGCAGGAGTCGCAGCACAGTTTGTTGTAGCCTGGAATTGAGCAGTATCGTGCAAGAACCTCCATTTGGCAGAAGATGGATTTGTCTCCATTACAGGGCTCATCTGAAAGACAAAGAGCATATACTGTCAGCTCAGCGTATGTCAGACAACACTAAGTGGGTGGTGGCCTTGGATGCATTTCAGAGCACTGAGGAGTTGCTTTTAATCAGAAACTGACAGCTGTGCCTAAGTGTTTATGGCACAAAAAACAGAGAATAAGTACATTTCAGCCACATTCTACTGAAGTCTGCTTAGACAAGAGCTGTGTCCCAGTTCCATACTATTGTACATACTAATGCTAAGCAGTTAGCCAGAGTGTGTGCCTCTCATGTATTAGCGTTAGCATTACATTAGAGTAACGTTCATAAGCATCTGTTTCTCTAAAAGACAAATACCTGGCAAAATTTAGGGTTATTGGTTGTGACTCATACAGTATAAAGGCAAAAACACACTGATTTACTGTATTTATGCACCCGTTATAGGTCTGCATCAAGTAAAGCTATTGACCTGTTTTTTATGGCACCAAAATAAGTAATAAATCCTTTGAAAAATCAATTAAATTCAAAAGACTTTATTTGTCCCTGAATTGAATCACTTCCTTTTAGTACAAAACTGCAAAGTGTACATATACTGTATATATATGTGTGTGTGTGTGTGTGTGTATGTATGTATATATGTATTACTGCATATAGTAATTGTCAATTACAAATTGCCACTGTGGTATCTACTTCACTCACAGTGAAGAGTTTCCACGCTGACTACATGTTTTAGAGTGTGTGTGTGTGTCTGTCACAAAAGGTGGTTACTGTCAGAGCCGCTGTGCGCATGATGGTAAACACTGTGCAACGCAGCATGCCAATTTAGCTGAAAACCGTCCGATAACGGTCAGCAGCCAATCGATTGGTGCATCTATAGTATTGGTATTATGGCACTGGGACACATCACTGTTTTCTCAGCTTTCAATAAAGCCCTCTAATTTGAACCTGCCCTGAAAGTAAAACATTTCAGTGTGTACTTTAATGCACTCTCCTAATTAGGAGAGAATGTGTTTTATTTGCATCCTAGTTTATCCCCCTATCTAAGCTGCAAATATAAAAGTCGCCTTTATGTTTTATCAAAATAGCTGCAAAAAGCATGGCATACATTGACATAAAAGAATGAATAGAGGATGCTCTTTCAAAAATGAATGCTAGGATGATGGTTAAAGCGAGACTATGTAATGTTAATTGTTAATATTGTTGTGCAGATTTTTCCAGTAAATCTGCGCATGAACTGCATTTCATTCACTGTTATGTCCAGATAAAAAACTTGTAAGAGAGTTAGATTTCAGCGGCAGGGCCTTTCTTCCAGTATTCCATGCAAATGCTGATAATGTTAGTCTGCTGTAACGTTCAACATTTTTAATTGAGTATTTTAACTTTTTTAATACATAAAATGATTTTTAGTTATTAACATGTTTATGTACGTTTTGCTTTTCATATGTGCGGTGTGTCTTTGGCTTACATTCAGTCAATTAAATTTCATTTAAAAAAGAAGCAGAAATAACAATAGGGTTATTGTTAGAAACTGCTGTGTGATGACAGTTGGTCTTGAAAAGATATGTTTACCTTCTGTTCTTAATGAATGATGTGCTTACCATGGCAGGGTCCTGGCCTACACGGTCTCACAGTTTCAGGTTTTTCTCCATTACATTGATCTCCAATCCGGCAAGTGACCAGACGCCTCTCCATCCCATCTCCACAGGTCACGGAGCACTGTGGAAGAGTGCAAACATAAGCCATAACATAAGCTAATCTTGTAAATAAATTTCATGTTTGTGTTGCTTTCTCTGTGCTGGAGTTATTTTAAGAACTTGATGGCTTTACCAGTTTTTTATTAAATTTGTAACAAACTATCGTGTCTCTTCATTATAGGCTACTCCCACACAAATATGTTAATAAGCTAATGATGCCTGTCCATCGCTTTGTGCGGTGTAGGCCTACAGCCTACGTCAGCTGGTAATCTTCGCAGGTCTTTAGACCACGGTGGAAACGCACACAACAGTGGGCTGAAGGAAACTTTTAGTTCCTTGAAAAGAGATCTGGGGACTAAAAAGTCACCATTATACTTATTAACATATAACACAGAGCTGATATGAATGGAAGCAAGTCACACAGGCAACAGTAAATGACAGGATAACTGGGTTGGATAACGAGCTGACTTGAAGTTCACTCTCCACCTGGAAACAAAATGTTTTGCTGTGCCCTTTGAGAGTGGATTTCTCTATTAGTGTGCACAGGAAACAACACCAAGACATTTTGTCCAATGGATAAATGGAAACTTATGTTGCCATTGGTTACAATGATGATACTTTTTACTTTAAACAGCAGACAGCAGATTTACAATCTCTGGATGGATTTTCTAAAACTTGGCTGAAGAGGTGGCAGCTCAACTTTATATTTATAACTTCATTTTTAACTTAATAACTTACAGGTAGGCACAGAAGTGAAGTGGATCAGAGGTGAGGTGAGAAGTTACACCATTGGCAAATTACAACGGTCCTCAGAAGCACAGTGACCATACAAAGTCCAGCATATACTAGGTTTCAACCTTCAACCAAGGTCTTTTTACCTTCTACATTGCCTTATGGCTGAGGAATTGTATGCGCAAGTGTAAATTAGTTAAAAAATGGCATGCAGCTTCCTGCCAGTGCTGTTGGTAGATGTACTTTTGAACTTTGAAAAGAGCCAGGCTAGTTGTTTCCCCCTGTTTCCAGTCTTTATGCTATGCTAAGCTACGCTAAGCTGACAAGATTGATTAAAGGGTGTATCCTCAGCTTCCTAATATAATACTGATATTTCCCTGGACAGTATTTACTTGAACCTTTATAAATACTTATTTCCATAAAAATGTAGATTTAATAGACATTGCTGTTTATAATAAAAATCTATACAACTGAAACCAAACTAAAAAATAGTATGTTTCTTGGGATATGGCCAAAATCTTCCCCTACATTCTAGTTTTTGGGATTTCTTGCTTATTTATACAGTAGATGACAAGTTAACAAGTCAACCTCAGTGGTGGATGTAAAAGGACCATTATGCTTCAAACTGAGTGTTGTCGTCAGAGTATTTTTCGCACAACTACTTCTGTCACTTTTTAAGTGTACAAACAACATTTGTACCTTTAAAGAAAAACTGTCTGAAAGTGTGTATCGCCATTTAAGCTATTAATCTGTGTCTATGACAGCAGGCTTCACCTTGCCTTAAAGTTTTGAGAACAGGTATGAATACTTCAGACGTTATCGGAGAACAGGTTGCACACACTAGTTTGTATACAAGCACACCTTGTCCTTATTTAGATACATAAATAGAAAAAGATTATGTAAAACTGTAAATCAAGTTGCTATTTTGTGCTGTGTAAAAAATGTAACAATCAATTCCTGGGGCGATCAGTGATGGATGAACCCAAAGCAGCAAACACACCATCAGTCTTTCTTGATATGACCTTAGTTGGCTGTTTTTAGACTTGCTTTATATCTCTGTGACTGAAGGAAAATGTCAAGAAGACAATTAGTCTGAAATCTGTTGAACTCCTGAGAGCGGCTGTAGCCCAAATGTTCTCAAATAAAACTGAGCGAATTAAAATCTTAAATGGTAAAATGTTGAATAAACTCTCCAAGATCCAAGATAAATCTGTTCCCCAACGCATTCAGTACAAAATCCTCCTCCTCACACACAAAGCCCTCCATAACAAGGCCCCTTCCTACCTCACAGACCTGCTCCACCACCACAATCCCTCCCGCAACCTCTGCTCCTCTGACACTAACCTCCTCTCACCACAAATCAGGACCAAGCACCGTACCTGGGGCAACAGAGCTTTCATCATTGCAGCCCCCTCCCTCTGGAACTCCTTAACCATACACATCCGAGATTGCAGCAACATGGACTCTTTCAAATCACTTATCAAAACCCACCTTTTTAGACTAGCTTTTAACATCAAATAATGTTATTTACACCTGCTGCTGTTTGTTATTTTGTTATTTATATGGTTGCCACTTGCTCTTATGTATTTCCCCACCACATGTTTTTATCTACTGTTTGTATGTTTTATATTATGCTATTTATGTTTTTAATCGGTTTTAAATGTACATAACTTCTGCTTTTAACTGTAAAGTGTCTTTGAGTGTCCTGAAAAGCGCTATAGAAATAAAATGTATTATTATTATTAAATCAATAAAGTTAAAACCCCTGGAAGAAGCTATGTAAAAATTATTTTTATGATTCATTTATTATTAAGAATCCATGCATCCACAAGCATCTACTGTTAACTCACAAATGAATAACACTACAATTTACACAAAACAGTCCAGTTGCCATTCATTTTAACCTTCCCTGGATATTGTTATTGCAGTATTACACTACTATTATAACAGAGTTTAAGTATATATACTCAAATATGTATATATACAGCTATATTCCTACATGGAGATTGACCATGTTATCTAAAATCTCTCACACAAATTAACTACTGAAAGTTATTTGAGTCTGACATGAAGAGTTGCACCTCATTAGTTTTTACATGCTCACCACCACTCAGTTGGACGTCTGATTTATTGGATTTTTCGATGGATTCAAAAGGTCTTGTTTAGTGAAATGGAGGAGCTAAAACTGCTGTATTTTCAGATGAGATGTGACACCACTCTAATTAAATATCAGATGCCTTATGTTTTATTTTATATGATATGTTGTCAAGTTCATAGTGAAATCATGTCATATCTGCACATTAAAGATGCTGCTGCATTTAAATCTGCAGAGAAGGGTAAGCCGATGGTTAGACTGACATTAGTTAACTGGAAACCAGATGGCATTAAAAATAAATCAGAAAGAATCATAGATTGGTGGCTAAATGATCCACACTTTCAGGACTCGCAACATGCCTTTGTACCTGATGAAGAGCCAACTTGTACTTGAAACATTGTAAAACTGTTTTTGAGAGGGAGCATTGAATAGTGTTTCAAGTCTGTGTGAAACTAAATGATCCACACACCAAAGAAGGACAGAGATTAACCTCTAACTGGAGCCATGTGATCTCTTTCAATTTCTTTCAAACAGATCATGTGGATACTGAACCTCTGACCACGCTCCGGTCCTCCACTGGGCAGGACATGGGACTCTGTTACAGGGCCTCCGACTCTCTGGCTTCTCCCCGCTGCAGTACTTGCTGTGGACGGAGCGGTTGGTACCGTCGTGCAGGTACTGCACGCAGCGAACCGTCCGGATCTGAAAGCCCAGGCTGCCACAGGTTTTGGTACAGTGCTCCCATTCCTCTGAGATCCATCTGGACAATTCAAAGTGTGGAGGTTACTTAGGATATAAAGCAGGTTAATTAGGTTATGTCATAACAAAAAGGTACATATTTAAGGACAGAGGTAGAAGTATTTAGATCTTTAAAAAATTAAAGTACCACTACAAGAATGTAAAAATCGTTGAGTAAATTACATAATCCTACTTAGAATAAGAGGTATAAGTTCTTATTCTGCAGTACAATGTCCTGTGTGACTAATATTTTATTATATATGACACTATTAGATTGTCAATACTGATGCATCAACGTGTATCTTACTGTTGGTAAGGTGGAGCAGTTTTAACTACTTTATATATAGTTTGGTAGGAGTGCTAAGGGTCGGGCCCCTCCAAAGGGTCACAATATAAATATCATAAAATCTGGGGGTAGTAAGATGATTAATGGGAGAGGAAAAAAGAAAAAAAAAAGAAAAACTTCTGCTGGACAAATCTGTAATTATCTGTTATTATTTTTACTTTTCTCTCATCTGTGCTTTTTACAGAATGATTAAATAATTTCCTTCTATGAGCCTCATTATTTAAATTAAACCATGTGAGAGGTTTAGAGGTGGAATCACTTTTTGGTGGAACTGCTACAACTAACAGACATCGGCTCTTTTGTAAGACGTCACAACTCAAAAATGGTGGGTGCCACTAGTTAAATGTATTTTATAAACTGCTCAAATATTATTTATGTAAAATCTTAATCTGAAAAGTAACAAATAAATGAATAAATCAAGGTGAGTAAAAAGTACAACATTCCCTCTAACTGTAGTTGGGTAGAGGTATAAAGTATCATAAAATGGAAATACTCATATAAAGTAAAGTACAAATACCTCAAAACTCTAAGTTAAGTATTTGAATTAAATTCCATTACCAAGATAAAAAAAAAAAGACTAATCACTCTAATCATTATTCGGCTAAAGATAAATGGTTTGATATTGGTGGTGGTTGGAGAACAAATTAACTCATGGAAAAAAGCAACTATAACATGCTGGATCCCCATTGCTCACAAATTTGGGCATCAATAAAAGAAAGAAGACGACAACAAGCTATTAACAACAAAAGGCCATTTTCAAAAAAACGCAGCAACTAGCTAGCACAGCTGAAGCAAACTTCCAGTTTTAGCTCAACGATGATATGACCGCCTGGTGTTGTATTGCAAGGTGGGGCAGAGAGCAGTGTATTCAGAATGCATGTAGTAAACTGCGCTGAAGGAAGTCTTTTGCTACAGAAATCAGTCCATGACGTCAAGAAGGGAGCCCAACGGCGTGGTCACACACAAATTTGCTGAAGGACAGAGGAGGAAAAATAGAGAGGGGATGCTTTTTTCTCATTGTTTGGGGTATAGGTGACCCAAGATAGTCTTAGATGTGAAGAAGCTTGATTCAACTGCCAGTCTCACAGTCAAATCTTTATGAAATGTTATTGTTTTGAAACGAGGATTATGCCATTTTGACTTTATGGGGTTGCTCTGATTTACATAGAGCTGTCGGTTAATATACATCCTATTATGATATAAATATCAACATATAATGCTGTATATAAAAATGTGAAAAGAAAGAAGCTTTTAAAAAATCATTTTAAAGTGCGTGTTGTGTGGACGAAGCATGTGTGTGTGTGTTGTAAAAGAGGAAGAGAGACAGAGCACCAGCACAGTAGCTCCGCTTTAATCTTGATAAGCTGCAGAGCTGCAGTCTCTATTCATTCAACTTGCACTGTAAATTCACAGCTAAACTGAGGTTTTTTCAAGACCCTTTTCTCTCTCTCTCTCTCTCTCTCTCTCTCTCTCTTGCTTGTCATTCACCGGTCTTGTGCAGAGTTTTGCGTGCATTCCATGCTGCCGACAACTGCATGCACGTCGTGGTTCCTCGCGGGTCTATTTCAAGCAGCCGGCTGTTCAAAAATGATAAAATATTCTTAGTGTGGTTCATCAACAGTGATAAAGTCCCGCGAGGTGCGGACAACTCGGCACAACACCAGCGAAGTTGGAGCTCCGTCTCCTTAGCAAGCGTTCCTCTTCTGCCACTTCACATGTACACGCTTCGCCTACACATGCGCACTAATGACCCAGCCTAATTCGACTGTGAGATTGACAGTCAAATCAGGCTCAGTTTAGATGTAAATGTACAGTATAAGTTTCACTGACTAATGAAATAGGGACTGCAGCTCTGCAGCTTTTCAAGATTAAAGCAGAGCTACCGTGTGTAATTCCTTTAGAAAAAATCTTAGGTCTTGTCAAGCTCAAGGAGGAGAGTCGCCTCCATCAGACTCACACAGGGTGTTCAGCAGCATATACTGCCTGTCAAATAATAAACTTGAAAAAAAAATTTGATACGGGACAATTCACAATACAAGTATTGCACTAATGCATTCATTGTAAATTGTAGTATAGTATTTTAATATCCTATTGTTACAATACATTAATTGTGAATTGTCCAAAAAAATTATTGCACATTTTGATATGCCCATATGCATGATACATAAAATTCATATTGATTCCATTTGTAATATTTTCTTATTAAATTGTTTCATCCACCACACGATTAAACACTCTTTCTGATGACAAAACGTGCTTAAATTTTATAACACAGAATTCAAAAATATTAAAACAGAAAGCATGGAATTTGGGGAAAAATGAAACGGTATCAGGCAAAAATTTTTACAGATTTCATAGGGCCCACAGTGTACCACAACCAGTTCATCATCATCGTTTCACAGAAGAGACAAGCGTATATATGCGGATCTGTCTTTCAGAGACAGTGGGCTTGTGGGCTCTGTAACTATTACATACTAATTTTACATGTCAGCATTGCACATAATAAAATTACAAAATCATGGTATGTCCTAAGAATTTTTGGTTGTTTCTCGCAGTAAAACAACCAAACTAACACAACAAACAGTTCAGAGGTCAAATAAATGCTTCATTTATAGTGAATGAGCACTGAATATACTAGTTTACAATCAGCAGTGATGACAAGAGGTCAGTAAATCAATTTTAGTAAAAAAGAAAATCAACTTCATTCTACAAGAATAAATAGGGTCATAAAAAATCCTTATAGACAAATTGAGAACTTTACTAACTACTATGACAATAATTTCTATACCATCATATTAAAAAAAATCAGTGACAGACAAACAAACTTCAATTGTAGCCGAAGTTACAGCATATACACTCCAGTGATTGATTTCAACATCCCATATAGAAATGTAGATCAGAATTGCATAATGTTATTTAATAATGCGCCGTCTACTATGTATTCATTAATTGTCTTTGCTTTTGCATTTGCTACTTCTACCTTGATCCTCCACATGCTGCGATTTAATTAGCTGACTGACCTATTCTTTTCTGAAATACAGCGTAATCACTACTACAAACTGTATGATTAGATTTACAATTAGTCAAAGCGTGATGTGCTTAGGACTTTAAGAGGCTAATTAAAGATATACAGTACACGCTCCTGTATACACTCAGAGCCACTTTAAGCTAATGGATGCCATCAGATGGAGTGTGTGATCATTAATGTCTCGCTGAGTGTCAACCAACCTGTTTACTTGTGTTTGAAGGTGTTACTCAACCAAACTATATTTCTGAATAATAAAGATTTATATTTTAATAGACAACACTGCTTCCTGGTTAGATATGCCTTGTCAGTGGCAACTGGGTTGCAGAGTACTCCATGCAGCTACATGTCTTTTATCTTCTTTCACTTTTGTTGTAATTCATTTGATGTCTTCTGAAAGCTTTCACAGACTTATGAAAACAAACTCTGGGTAAATTAGAGACAAAATCCCTCACAATATTTATGGACCTGAAATCAAATCCAGGCTGTTGAGATGGTAAATAATTCCTTTCACTGGATTAACAAAAGGCAGGCATGATGATAAGTGATGCATTGAGTGAATAGCTTCAACACATCACTCATTAACTCTGGATAGAAAATAGAATTTAAAAATACTTACGAAGAATTAGCATGCAGCTGTGAAATGTTTGCTAAACACAAAGCCTGAGCGCGCTGAATGCAGACGGATTGTTTCCAAACTTCTCTGAGAAGTTGAGACTTGAGCAAAGAAGGTCAGGATTCTGCTGACGCTTCCTCCACATAAAGCAACAAATCCATTTAAATGCTAGTAGACTCCTTAATACACTCTGCTAAGTGACTGACACATTTTTGTGGGGGATTTCTTTAAATTCCTTTCACCCATGATTAATCAATACTGGCATAAAGCAAATTAAAACATTAACATAAATCTTCTGTATGACTGTTGTCTTTCCTAATGATGTGAATTTGTCCAGGATATTGTGTGTGTGTGTGTGTGTGCGCGTGTGCGTGTGTGAGTGTGAGTGAGAGAGAGAGAGAGAGAGAGAGAGAGTGTATTAATATTTTATACATGATAATGACAGTGCGTAGGTAATGGAGAATTTCTTTGAATATATATTTGGAAGTACTCAAAATGACCCATGAGATTCTTTTTAGCTATACTGCCATGTTCCCAGATTTTAGTAATTAACTTTTTGATTGATAGAGAGCGCAATGTAATTATTACTAACAAATAGTGGTCCAAACCACAGATGTAAGGCTCAGGTTGTATTAAATTCTGGATTTCTAGGGCTGTGTGATTTAGCCTCTGCTGTTTACACACCAACATAAAACATTTAGAGGCTGTAGTTTTTCAGAAGTACATGATGTAAAGAAAAGTTAGAGAGCTCCTCGTTAAGACTGACAAACTTGTCTGCATTTTGTTTTCAGGGCTGCTGGCTTTTTTAAAGAATACTGTCTGAGAAGAAAAGTGTCAAAGAGACTGAGCCATGAGCATGTTGTGAGTACCTCTTTGAACTGTCGTACCTAGGTGTTAAAGAAGATAATACGTGCTTGTACTCGAGTCGCTGTAGTCAGCAAGTGGCTCGGGAGTGTGCATGCAGAGAACCCGACCCAGATTACTTCACATAAGAAGCAGAATAGGGGCTGTTCCAAGCAACAGAAAAAACAGGTT